TAGGTTGTAACTATATGCTATGTATACAGAGGTGAGCCTTATCCCCGACCAATCGCGCAACATGCATGAGTGCTTAGGGTGATTGGCCCACGATCCCTTCGCGCTTAGGATTTAGACCGACGTGTTGACCACTTTGGATAGCCTAGATAGGACTACAGCGTGTCAATCATCCGAGGCCGGGCATTACCTAGAAAAGTGTGTCCGGCTAGAGGTAATCGAGCGTATCGAAAATTGTGGTGCACCGCTGCAGGGAAGTAATCTATTCGAATAGCCGTGTCCATGATAATAGGACAACTTAGAGATGTATCTCGACCTTATACTACTTTAAACTGGATACTTGATAAAACACATCCACATAACAGACATATACCCCCAAAGATCGCTTTCACACAGGGTGATGAGGAGAGAATCTCTGGGCTGGTTGTTGCAATATGTATGTACAAGATGATACCATATACGCTTCTCACTTCTACTGTTGAAAGATGTACTCTTCGATAGGATGAGCTTCTCCCCCTTATTCTGGCATTTCTGCAGTTTAGTCCATAGATATTAATCCATTCCTCTGATACCGATGCATATCTAGTATAGATCTGATGTAAGTCTTGCAAGTACTTTCGATGAGTACTCACCGTTGCTTGCTACCCTTTTTCATTCAAATTCGGTTGTTGCAACAGCTGGTAGCACCGCGGATGCAGGTTACCACGATGGTGCATACTACATGGAGACCGATGACCAGGACTAGTACGGAGGTCCCAGCCAGGAGGCCTTGCCTTTCGATCTAGTGTCGTTGTTTTGCTTAGCCTTTTTAAGATAAAACTTGTCTAACTATGTCTGTACTAAGATAATATTTGCTTTGATGACTAATGTATTATGGGTCCTCATGACCCGGGCTTGTAATATAAAGATTTATGTTTAGATTTGTGTCATAGATTTGTGTTGTGATATTGACGCGAGTCACCGTTTGTGATCGTGCATGATGCGTGTATGATTAGTGCATGATTGTAAACGGGGGTGTCACACTGGCAAAGGGGTACGCCAATAGGTTGACCTCGCTCATCGACACAATCACCCATCCCAACAAGCCATTCCGAGAACGTTTTATTCCCACTTATAAAATAATATTTCGAAGAAGCCGCGGACACGTGTGAGTGTGGTTGGTCTCAGAACAGTCAACGAAGAAGACGAGGAGAACCGGCAACTACGGAGGATGCAAGTTTCATGAAAACATGTGGATGCAATGCGCATGATGCCATGAAAAAAAAGCAACAAGCAAATAAAACACACGACAATAGCGCAAATAAATGAAAGGCATCTGGAGCGTCGGTCTCGATTTGTTACACTTCTGTAGGGCCTAGGGCGGAAACTGGCCTAGGGTCCTTGGCCCGACCTATTTGGGTTGGCAACTAGCGAGGTGAGGTATCCCTGGACCGTAGCACCAAGTTAAAAAACACAACATGAAGGTTGAAGGCACACGCGATGCAATTGTTGGTTCCAAGGAAGTGTCTTCCCGCCTCATCAGATCTGGCAGGAATAGCAACCGACTCAACTGCAGAAGCAAAAAATTCCAGAGGATGCAAAGGGTAGCAGCGCCGAACGAGGAAGAACACTCTTTCCAGTGTGACGTGGAGCCTAAAAGATCATATGGACCAGGATATGGCCCTCTTCGACTGAGGAACCGAGCCGACCCACTAAGTCACCTGCAGTGTATCACTTTTTCTGTCATACGCACTATTAAAATTGTAGCGAAGAAAAATACTGTAGCACATGGTTTTTCGATCAATTTTGAAAAAAAATCTAAACAGTTTATGAAAACGGAAACTATATTGGAAAATGCGAACAAATTTTTTAAATTAGTGGAATTTTTTTCTAAATAATAATAATAATAATAATAATAAATATTTTGACAGCACAGACATTTTATATATTTTTTGAACAAATACCAAAACCCCAAACATTTTTTTTCTAAATTTTGATCTTTTTTAAATGCATTTTTAATTGTCCAATTTTTTTTAAAAGGGAATGTATTGAAACAGGAAAAATACAAAAACAAAGAAAAAAGAAAACATATCTGACTCAGACTGGAACCTTCTGGAAGGTTCCAAAGCCAAAAAGAGGAAAAGCTAAATGGTTCGACCCACTCAGTCCCTCCCTGTGTGATTCGACAGTTACGTGCAGGGAACACGAAACGCTAGGCTTTCAACCTCAGTTTGCGTGCAGGGAACACGCTGGCTGCGGCTGCTTGCGATTGGCCGTTGCCTCCTCCTCTTTTCCATTAGGGCTCCATTTGATTAAAAGGAAATTCCATATGATTTTATGGAGGGTTTGAATCCTTACGATTTTTCCTAAGTTGGTTATTTGATCAATAGGATGAAATTCCTAGATTTTTTTCTAATGAATCATGTGCACTACATTTCATAGAAATCAAGCATCCACTTAATCTCTTTCTAAAATTCTTTGTTTTTTCTGTGGCATCAAATACTTTATGCTAATTCTATAGTATTCAAGTTTTTATTTTTGTTGAAAATCCTATATAGCATTGAGCTTCCGAACGGGTCACTGTTGGGCGTTGGCACGACGATGGGGCTTTAGGCCCAAACATATCTGCCAGCCACGGCCTCTCCGACCCTTTTCTGTTACACATCCGGGGAAAAGGTCATTTTCCCTGAAAAAAAAAACAAAAAAAATGGGAAAGCTTCTGTCCGGTCTCGCCGCCGGCCGGATGCCTCATCTTCCGGCCGGCGGGGCTAGCCCACCGCGGTTCCAGTGCGCTCCAGGGACCGAGATCGGCCAGTTCTGCGCCCTCGCCTCCCGCGTCGATTCGTGGCATCAGGAGCATCAGTAGGGCCAGCCGAAGGAGGACCTGCCCCCGCCACCGGCGAAGTTCCGGGCAGCTGCGAGGAAGCGCTGCGCCAGATCCGTACCGGAGAAGGACATTGCCGAGGTCGACGACGGTGCTAGCGCGCTGAGGCTGCGAATGGTGCTGTGTCTACATTCGTTGACAATGCTGATAGGAAACAACAAGTGTTGTTCCCGTTTTCAGTTAGTGCGTATGTAAATTGGACTCTCATGTTGTTCTGTTTTGATATTTACAGGAGAGCGGGACGGATGTATTAGCGGCGGAGCAGGTAGATGTGTATGTAGATACTGAGGATGAGATGCCAATCAATGGAGACAGAAGAGCACTGAGTCCACGGGTCCAGGCAGTGGTTCTTCATCATCCAGTTGTAGAACTGTCAAGCTCACTGTTTATTCTTTCCCTTTTTGTCAACCATCGTTTATTCTTCATGAATTAAACTTCCTGCAATGTTTCCCATTTGACTCTGTTTACAGGTTCAGGCTCAGAGAGCTCAGGGGACAGCACCTCGGAAGCTGGCAATGCTCCTTCTCTGGTGTAGAGGCGGTTGTTCTAACAGTAGAATTTGATTAGGTGGAGGATGCGAGTACTTATTTCTTGGATGTGCATGTTGGCTTAGATTTAATCATTCTCGGAGGGAGGTATATGAATGATAAAAAATTCAGTAGACATTCAAACCTTAGTTGATTGGGACCCTCTTTGTCGCAGTGATGCTGCTCCCTTTTTCTAAAATTATACCCCTGATGCAGTAAGTGTCTGTATTATTTTTAACTTGCATGGTATTACTAGGTAGGAGAACTTCCTGTTGCTGTAAGCTTTTCCTAACCTATAACTTGAGTGCCAGTAATACGTGTTTGGTGTGCTGGTGCAAATTTCCGACTTTTTTTGTTACATTTAAAATAATTGTGAGTTCTTTGCTTGTGTTTGCCAGTGCAACTAACTTTCAGGGATTGCTAATGTTCATGAAGGTGCTTACATGGTCGAAAGGACGGATACAGCTATGATGCTCGCCTGAGATGCAATGATCAGTTCTCCCCCCATAAATTGAAATGAAAAATTGGTGCGTGTTCTTGTCTAATGATTCTATACATGCTCAGTGTACAGTAACATGTCCTCTCTTTTTAGCTTCTTACCAAGATAGGATAGTACTAAAGTACACACACGAGAAGTAGCTTCATTTGTATCACAAAGGAATGGAGCTTGTAATCAGCACCGAAACTACAGGTTGCGTATTCAAATTTTAGCACACATTAGGTGTCTGCTGTCAATTCCATCCTGAACTCTGAAAGTGCAGGTCTGTGACATGTTTGTCTGCTCTGTTCACCACACTAAGCATATGTGTGTGGTATGTTTGTTCTGATAAAGGGCGCTTCTATTAACTCAAAATGATGTGTCCTGTAGCAATGACTTTTGGATAAACCGAAATGTGTGAGGAATAATAGGATGCATCTTTGGATTTATCTGTTGCAATTATCTCTCTAGCCAAGGAAATTAAAATTCTTCCGGAAGAAAACAAAACTCGGAAATTCATCATTTTCAGTTGACAAGACCAAACAACAAAACATACCAGTTATTGATTACATGATATACGTTGAGCAGCTTGAATGCCTGCCTAGACGCTCATTTTAGTATGAACACACCGCACATTTAGGAGGGTATGTCGACTCTGAATATTACATAATATATGAGACAGCTTTAACTCAAGAGCAACCCATTGGTATAGAGTTGTGCATGCAGAAACCAATCTTGACTTTCACAGTAATTAATTCACATATGTCCAGTCGATCTTGACTTTCAGTTTGCTTGTTGCTAACCGCCTGCATTCATCAGATAGCTCCTGGCTGCAAGACCCGATTTCCAGTTCTTCCAGCGAATGTGGGAGGCCTGCTTCCGGTATCCTTGAGATGCTTCTACACTGTAGTATCAAGAAACTCTTGAGGGAAGGAAGGGTGTGCAGCCCAGCAGGAAGATTTACGAGATCATTACACAAATAGAATAGGACATCTTGTAGTGACTTGAGGAGCACAAGTGCTTCCTCTTGCTCATCTGTTAGTCTCCTCACTCCCTCCAACCAATGAAGTTGTAGGCGTTGCAGGGAGGTGAGGTGCTTGCAGAACGACGTGGTAAGTACAGATGGGTCATCGATGCAAAGCCTTTCCAGCCGAGGGCACAGCGTTGAAAAGCTCTCCAAACATGGTGGCAAGCCAGGACAGTCTGATACATTCAAACGCCCGAGGCTACCAAGGGGTTGTATGCCCTCTAGTACAGTGACGGTGAGCGATCCGCAGCCGAAAATTTTCAATTCCTCCAGTGCCGTGCATGAGTGCAGCTGTAGAGATTGCAAACCTGGGCTGTCACATACATTTAACTTTTTAAGGCTGGTGATATCTCTAGGGAAGCAGAGCTGCAGCGTTTCTTGGCAACAGAACAACTCGATGTTTAGTTCCTGAAGTGATGTCGGGAGGAGCCATCTTCCGTTAGTCAAATCATCACCTCCCGACGAGAATAGATTGTGGTAGTCTGCAATGGATAGCTTCTCAAGGGAGGTGAATCCAGATAAGCAGCCATTAACCCAGTTGAATGATAGAAGAGGGCACTCATAAATAGTCATATTCTTGAGAGAGGAGACGAGATTTGATGGAATGTGCAGGAGTCCGTTTCGATATAAGTCATATAGTAACCAGTTCAATGCCTCATCTGGATTTCCTGGTGATAGTACTGTTGTTAATAGACTGTTTTCTTCCTCTTCCATTGGTAACAGTACTGTTGTTATATGTGTGCAACCATCTATACTCAATTCCTCTAGGTAAGGCGCATGTTGCAGCATCAGCGATAGCCACTTCCCCGCTATTCCACATGACTCAATACTGAGACTTTTAAGAGATGGGAAAGCATTGCAGTTCACAGCCGTCACATCTTCAAGGGTATACTCTGGCGTCACATCTGAAGAGAGAAGCTGTTCACACTCTGTCATCTCCAAACTTGACAAAGAGACAAGATGACTAAAACCTTTGAACGAAAAAGACCTTAGATTTCTGCAACCATATATCGCCATCGATTTGAGGTTCCTAAGATTATGGAACGCCAAAGTTTTGTCATCCAGTATCCTCAACTCATCACAAGATTCATCAATATCATAGCCCATGTACTCATCAATATTCCCAATTTTTAACTTTTCACCCGATGATACCTCCATATACGGAAATCTTGAAACTGCTCTGATGAGTAACTTAGAAAAGGTAGTTGAAGGTGGAAGAGGCTTCAACACTTCCAAATGAGGGCAATATTTCAGAATCAAAGTCCTAAGACCAGGCAGCCATGATCCCTGAGTGATTTCAGAATTATCATCGTTCTCAAACAGATCAAACTCCTTCAATGCTTCACAATCCTCAATCTGCAGTCCTCGTAAGCTAGAGTTCAGAGCCCCCACAGAAGTGCTTGAGCATCTCACTAACTTAGGCATGTTGAGTAAAATTAGCTCCTCTAGTGAAGGAACCAATACTTCTGTTACTTCCCACATGTTGCTCAACTTCAGCTTTGTAAGAAATGGAAGACTTCCCATAGATGGAAGTATTCTCCATCCTCCACAATCATCAAGATGAAGCGTCTGCAACGAGGTAACTGAGATATTTTTGGCAAGCCAAGTTGGTGAAGTGGTACCATTATACCTAGATATTTGTAGATGTTTTAAATCTGTGTGTGGTTCAAGACCCTCAATCACTTCTCTTGCCATGTTTTCAGAAGATTCAAATCTAGTGTCACTGACATCCTCATCCTCTGAATATGCACCCTTCCAGGACAAGCGAAGCTCTTCTAAGTGTTTCTTGTTTCTTAGTCCTGCCCCATAAGCCTCCTCCTGAGTTTTAACCCTGTCGAGTTGAGACACCCCAAGTTGAACAAGCTCGTGAAGTGACTATTAGAACCACAATGAAACTCTTAACTTAATGACGTCTATTTTGATGCATGCATGCAATGTATAGATGCTTTAGTTACCTTGGAAGGTTTGGCGAGTGGTCATTTGGTCCAGGTTTGTTCTTACAAATCTTGCTATGGTTGAGCATACCTGCTGTCCCACTCTTGGGTCCACACTTGATCTCAGTGGGACAATATTTACATCTTGCTTTGATAGGCCGTTCGTTTTCTTCTTCTATGACATCAAAATGTTCCCATGCCTTGGACCGTCGTCTCTTTCCTTTTTTTTTTTTGAGAATGACGGGGGAGCGGGAGCTCCACCGGTTGTTATATTACTCGAAACGACGAGGCGTCATACAGTGTTTTCCATCGAGGAGATAAAAAAAACAAGATAAAGAGGCAAAAAACAAAAAAGAGAGAGAGAGGAAATCTAAGCGCCCGAGAGAAGGAAGGAGCGGAACAGGAGGAGCTGTTCCCTCAGTCCAGTCTCAAAACAGTTGGACCACAGGAGCGTATCATCGGCCGCGCGCCGGAGCACGTCGCCAGCCCCGCAGCTGATGGAGTTGAAGACCACATTGTTCCTGGCTTTCCACACATTCCAGAGCAGGATGAAGAGGCCATCCGGCCAGGCAGCACTGTCGACCTGCGCCGCGGGCGTTGTGGAGAGAATCTCCCCAACAGAGAGAAAGGGGCCCAGGCCGAGACCGGCCCAGACCGGCGCCACACGAGGACAGGCCGCGAAGAGATGGTCCGTCGTCTCCTCCGCCTGGCAGGATGCACACGAAGATGAAGGAGCGCAGTTTTTGGCGTACAGGTTAGCCCGGGTGCTAAGCCGATCGCCAACCAGGAGCCGAGCAAAAATCTTGATTTTGCTAGGGAGCCGGGAGCCCCAAATGTCGATGGAGACCTGGTCGAGAACGCCGTGAGGCGACAGGACGCGGAAAGCAGCCCGCGAGCTGAAAGCAACGTCCTCACCCCACGCCATGAGGCGACGGTCGTGCACTCCCAGTAGGCGAACACCCCGCAGGAGAGCGTGCACGTCGGCAAGCTGAGCGCCCGCCACCGCGGAAAGCCTTGGCTGAAGCGCGAGGCCGTCCTCCATGACCGCAGCGACGGAAGCATTGGGCCGCGTCGAGTGGGAGAAAAGCGCCTCGTAGGTGAAACAGAGCGCACCGCCTGGGAGTCACCGATCCTGCCAGAAAGAGGTAGTGCGCCCATCACCAAGGTGCACCCGGGTGATGGATCTGTAGGTCGGGAGGGCCGCCTGGATGATCGTCTGGAGGAACGAAGGCGCCGAGCAGGGGTCCCCAACGTCGCCCCTGAGCTGACGGAGGAACCAGAGCTTCCAGGGCGGGGAGCCAGGCCGATGAAGAGCATCCACAAAGTTGAGAAGAAGGCACATATTTTGCCGCCGGAGGTCGCGCATGCCGAGCCCACCTTCCTGCACATCAACACACACCTTGTCCCAAGCAATTAAACAGCGAGCACCGGAGCAAGTATCTTTGCCGGTCCAAAAGAAAGCACGACGCCGACGATCAATTTGCTCAATCACTCCAGGGGGCAGCATATAGGAGCACATAAAATAAGTGGCAAGGTTATTAAGGACCGCGTTGCAGAGGACAAGCCTACCACCTGAGGAAAGGAGAAGAGCGCGCCACCCGGACAAATAGCGGTCAAAAGACCTTATGAGGGGGTCGTAAGCAGAGATGGGGAGTTTGAGAGGGGAGAGAGGAAGACCGAGGTAGGGTTGGGGAAAGGTGGAGATAGGGCATCCGAGGATCGAAGCCATTACGGTAGGCTCACCGGTGCTACGGTAAGAAAATGATGGGGTGCTTATTAGAACCACAATGGCCTCAAGCAGATGTTTATATATACAGCATTTATCGAAAATGTGCCCATATAAGGCAAGAGGTGTATCTACACCTTGAAGGGTTTGGCGGATGTGCTCCAGGAGGTTTCTTGGTACAAGTCAGGGGATGCTCTTTCTCCAAATGTTTTTTCATAGATGAAGTCCCGTTCGTCTTCGAGTCGCAATTAAACTCATTGCTGCAGTGTCTACATATTGCTTTGACGGGTTTTCCGTTAACTTTTTCTGTGATCTTAAAGTGCTCCCACACCACGGACCGTAATTTGCCAACACTTGTATTTGGTGTATCAGCTTCGCTCCTCGAGGTCTCGTGGACTAGCTCTGCTCGATGCATACCTTCTTCGGGCTCGTCCCTTGTATCTGTGCCAATATATAGGAACATGATGGATCACATCAAGACCAAACTTTTTTATGGGCACGACAAGATCTGCGAATTACTCCCTCCGTCTCATAATATATGAGCGTTTTTTACACTAGTTTCAAAAACGCTCTTATATTATGGTTACTGTAGCACATGAATTGGCTCAAAAAGACATGTTACGCTTACCTCCTTGGACCTGCTGTTGAAGCCTGTAGTAGTCGAGGCCGTCGACCACGTCGTCGGCGTCGTATAGAAGCTCCTTGAGACGAGCGAGAGCCCGGGACAGAGGCCTGTTCCCGGCTGCCCTCCCCTTCACAGCAGCCACCACCATGTCGACTCTCTCGACCTCAGACTGGAGCCTCTCGACGTCGTCGGCAAGCCCGACTTGCCGAATCCAATCATCCATCTTGTCCATGAGGAGCGTTGCAAGGATGGTCTGCACCAGCCATGCAATTGCGGCCTCCATGGAAGGGTCTCCCGCCGGCTCCATCATCAGATCCGGCAGGAGCAATTGTCAGTCAACGAAGGAAGGAAGGGGAATTCAGCGTGTGGAAAGGGGAGCAGACGAGACGAGCGGGGAAGATCACCAGCCACAGAACACAACGCACTTGCCGTGCGGGGAAAAAACGCTTCGCTTTCACTGGAAACGCTTAAAATGGTGCATGTATTGGGGAGTCCTCCTCGACAGCGCCTTCAGCGCCAGCAAGCGATCGTGGCGCCCGCGCACGCCTCCTTCTGGGCCGGCCCATTACACCATCGCTCCCTCTTCGCTTGCCTTCGTTGGCTCCCGCTCCATCGCTGGTCCCAGCTCGATCATTTTCTTTCTCTCGCCAAAAACTGCTACATTAGGTACTGATTTTCTTAGAAAAACCCAACCGGTTTACTACAGTATGTACTACAGTTTTTAGAAAAATAGTTCATCGACTTTGACAAAAAGTTCATCGAATTTTAAAAAAAATCATTAAAACTGAAAAAAGTTCATCGGTTTTGAAAAAAGTTCACCAAAATTGAAAAAAAGTTCATCAGATTTGAAAAAAGTTCATCGAATTCTAAAAAAAGTTCATCGGATTTGAAATTTTTTCATCAAATTCAAAAAAAAAGTTCATCGACTTTGAAAAAAGTTCATCGGTTTTGAAAAATGTTCATCGAATTTTTAAAAAGTTCACCAGAATTGAAAAAAAGTTCATCAGATTTGAAAAAAGTTCATCGAATTTGAAAAAAGTTCATTGAATTCTCAAAAAAATTCACCGGCTTTGAAAAAAGTTCATCAAATTTGAAAGAAGTTCATCAAATTCGAAAAAAAGTTCGTCAACTTTGAAAAAAGTTCATCAAAAATGGAAAAAGGTCATTGAATTTGAACAAAAAATGTTCATCCATTTTGCAGAAAAAAACATGAAGAAAAGAAGAATTCTCGAATTTGAAAAATAAACTTTGGAAAAAGTGAAAAAGGAAAGATAGAAGAATAAAGGCAGGAAAAATATGTAAAAGATTACAGTGGGAGAGCTGGCGCAGTGGTAATTGCATCCTTCCTCGATGTTGAAGGTCCCAGATTCGATTCTCCTCCAGCGCCCCTTTTTGCCTTATAAACATACAACTAAAGGGGGGGATGGGCCGGGCCCGTTAGTAGCGAAGGAAGGCAGGGGGGTATGCGCCCGATTGTAAAATCAACTAAATTGGGCGCTTAAGGCGCCAAATAGGATCCGTGTGTATTGGGCCGGAGCAGAAGGTCAATTCCGAAGCAGCTTTCGACACTTAGTGGGCCGAACTGTATGCTCGAAAATACGGCCCAGATAGGCCATAGCAGGAAGCACTTCTCTTGCTCTGTTTTCCAACACGGCATGAGAAGCAGTACAAAATAACCCAGCAGAGATCCTCAAAAAAAAAACAAGCAGACGGCATACATTCAAGTCGATCGAAAGTCAGAGCACAAACTCCTTAAATAATTTACGGCATAAATAAGCCAGATCTGATACACATACAGTATTTGATTACAACTGTCAAGTGGAAAAAAGAATGAAAGTATATGAAGTCTAAAACACTCGTGCTGAGAGGCATAACAGAGTGCAGATTAGTACTAAGCGTTCTTAACTGATAAAAGGAGAAGCCTGAAGTTATTGGACCTGCACACGGAGATACTGCATAAAATTAGACCTGCAACCAGCAGGTTGAGGGAGTCCTGGACTAGGGGCTGTCTGGATGGCCGAACTATCATTATCGTCCGGACTCCAAGACTATGAAGATACAAGATTAAAGACTTCGTCCCGTGTCCGGATAGGACTTTCCTTGGCGTTGAAGGCAAGCTTGGCAATACGGATATATAGATCTCCTACCATTATAACCGACTCTGTGTAACCCTAACCCTCTCCGATGTCTATATAAACCGGAGGGTTTTAGTCCATAGGACGAACAACAATCATACCATAGGCTAGCTTCTAGGGTTTAGCCTCCTTAATCTCGTGGTAGATCCACTCTTGTACTACCCATATCATCAATATCAATCAAGCAGGAGTAGGGTTTTACCTCCATCGAGAGGGCCCGAACCTGGGTAAAAACATCGTGTCCCTTGTCTCCTGTTATCATCCGCCTAGACGCACAGTTCGGGACCCCCTACCCGAGATCCGCCGGTTTTGACACCGACATTGGTGCTTTCATTGAGAGTTTCTCTGTGCCGTCACGATCAGGAAGGATGCCTCTTCCCGTCTTTAAAGACGGTACCATTGCCAAAGGAGCTTTGGCCGCCGGCCAAACTATCCGGCTGGGTGGTTTTCTTATGACCGCCCGTTCGGCCGCCGCTTCAACGATGACCTCTCGGGTCATCAAAAGCAATCTTCACGTCAACTTGGAATTCGCCGAGCAGCTGGACCCAATGGAGCTCTCTTCCATAAACGAGCTCTTGGATCGCATCGCCGCCCTGGGAGTCGCTACAGACTACGATCAGATTGGGCTTAAAACCGATCTGAGAGAGATTAACTCTCCCCACGTTACCCACCACGTTGCGGTAGTAGAGGAACAACACAGCGACTCTTCTTCTGTATTAAAGACCAGTTATGTCCGGACTCCTGATCCCTCCATGCCGGATTCCCGTGGAGGGACGGACGTCAATCAAGCACTGAACCTAAAGTCAGGAAGCGGACTAGATTCGTTGGACAACGTCCAGCAATCCAAGCTTCCAAATTCGGAAACTTTTCGGCCCTTGAGCCTCAAGTTGGGCAGGGTTCCGGACTTAATTCCACCCGCCCACCCAAACATAAGCGATCTATCTCATATCCGGCAAGAGCCCACGGAGACAGTACATAATTACTGGGCCAGATTCCTCCTGGTTATGGACAGGATAAAGGACTGCCGTGAGGAAAGCGCAATCTCAATTTTCTGCAACAATTGCACGGACAAGGGAATCACTAACGCCATAAGTCGCCGCGAAATTACACGCTTCGCCGACCTGGCGTCCATAGTACAAAAGTACTGTGCGATGGAGAGTACCTGGAAAATCGAAGCCAAGTTTTGGGACAATCCGGCTCCGAACACAACCCTAGTCCGAAACAAAAGGGTGCATCATGCTCAGGCACCCGGGACAAAAACCAAAAAGCAAAAACCCCATAAAGGGCACGGAACCGTACTGGAGGGATGGCTCAGCGGACCCTGTAAAATTCATAGTACAAAGGGCGCCACTCCAACACATAGCATTCGAGCATGTTGGATACTATGGCAGGTGGCCAAAAGTGGCGAAGAGCTTCTAGCCCCGGAGAACCACCCCAACAGTACCAGTACGGTATTAACAGTCTTCGAGACTTTCGCATCAAATAATATGCGGAAACGAACAATCCACAGCCTCGCCGAAATCTACCAAGTAGCAACAACAAATCCATGGAGCGACACGGCTATCACCTTCAACGCCAGCGACGAACCTAAATTCCGAACAGCCCGAGCACCAGCCGCATTGGTCCTCAGTCCAATAGTGGACGGCTTTCGTCTTACCAAGGTACTCATGGATGGCGGCAGCGGATTAAACCTCATCTACGAGGAAACCCTTCGAAAAATGGAAATAGACTGGAGCCGCATTAAGCGAAGCAGCACAACCTTTAGAGGGATAATCCCTAGTCGGGAAGCACGCTGCACAGGAAAAATTACGCTTGATGTGGTGTTTGGCTCGCCGGACAATTACAGGCCCGAGGAGGTCACGTTCCAAGTGGCCCCGTTCAGCAGCGGATATCACGCTTTATTAGGACGAGAGGCATTCACAATTTCCCAAGCCATACCCCATTACGGGTACATGAAGCTTAAAATGCCCGGGCCCAATGGAATCATCACTCTTGTCAGTGATCCGGACATAGCACTCCGCGCCGAAAACAAGACAGCCGCACTAGCCCTAGAGGCACTATCCAAAGCCCTAGCGGCAGAGGAACTCACTGCGCTGCGCTCCACGGTAAACAGGGACGATGTGATACTCGATAAAAGATCCAAGTCCACCTCTTTTAAACCAGCAGACGAAATAGTCAAATTCCAGGTCCATCCAATAGACCCCACAAAGACGGCCTCCATCGGGGCACAATTAAACCCTGATGTAGACGCCGTACTACGAGAATTCCTCCGGGAAAATTGGGACATCTTTGCCTGGCACCCTTCAGACATGCCAGGAATCCCACGCAGGTTGGCAGATCACAGCCTAAACATCCTAAAAGGATTCAAGCCAGTCAAACAGGCTCTTCGGCGATTTTCCGAACCCAAAAGATAGGCAATGGGAGAGGAGCTAGCCAAACTATTAGAAGCCGGATTCATCAGAGACATCAAACATCCGGACTGGCTAGCAAACCTGGTAATGGTACCAAAAAAGGACAAGTCCTGGCGCCTGTGTGTCGATTTTAAAGACCTTAACAAGGCTTGTCCAAAGGATCCTTTCCCCCTTCCCCGCATCGATCAAATCATCGATGCTACCACAGGGCACGATTCATTGTGCTTCCTCGACGCATACTCCGGCTACCATCAAATCAAGATGGCGGAGACAGACCAAGCCGCAACGGCATTCATCACTCCATACGGACGATTCTGCTTCAACACAATGCCCTTTGAACTCAAAAATGCTGGCGCAACATATCAGCGCATGATTCAGACATGTCTGGCTACCCAGATCGGCAAAACAGTGGAGGCATACGTAGACGACGTGGTCGTCAAAACCAAACACGTCGAAACTCTAGTAGACGACTTGAGGCTCACATTCGACAACCTCCGAGCATATGACATTAAGCTCAACCCGGAAAAATGCGTTTTCGGCGTACCAGCCGGAAAGCTCTTGGGCTTCATTGTATCCGATAGAGGAATTGAAGCAAACCCAGCCAAGATCCGAGCTCTGTCACAGCTGGATATCCCAAAAGACCTCAAACAAATACAAAAATTGACTGGATGCGTGGCGGCTCTAAGCCGCTTCATCCCCCGTTTGGGAGAAAAGACATTGCCCCTCTATCGCCTCCTCAGGCGCACCGAACACTTTGAATGGAC